ATACTGTGAGCAGAGCTGCACAGACCAGCTGTAATTAAAAGCTGTAGTTTCAGATGGGATAAAAAAGCTCGCTGCAACTTTTGTAATGTTTTTTCATGCCAAGATTAAAGGCCTTTGATTATTTCTTGTGTAATCGGGGCTATTTGAATGCCGAGTGGTTGTTTTGTGTCTGCTTAGTCGAGGCTTTGAGTTAGACGTGGTTTTCGCTTTGAGCCGTATGAAATCTCTACCTGCCACTTCTCTGTTGTGGAGTGATAAGAGAACTGCTCTAAAAACAGGCTGAGTGCAGCTATTTACTGCCACTGCAGCAGAGAGAATGTGACCTTTCACCTCTCCTTCGTTCCTCGAGTATTGACAGCACATGACTTTTTTTGTTCGAGCCGAGAGCAAAAGTCTGGATTTGTTTTCATAGCGTCGAACATGTGGATTACCTGCTTCAGGAAAATGCCAGGAGTCCTCCAGCTAAGTCATCTTCTGTTTGTTTTTCTCATGTAAATGACATTTCTTGTCTCTGTTTTCATTGAAACATGTCTCTGCAGCTCATAGGAGCTCACGGGCCTGCGTCCAATCAGACACACCGGGGGGCGGGGCTTCTCCAGTCAGGTTAGTAGGGCATTGCATGTGATTCCACAGGAGGAGGGGTTTCCAGAGGTCACACCCTTTGAGAGAATTCTTACAGGTAAACACTCCAGGCAGATGAGTCCAGGCTTGCCGGGACTTTGACGTAGGCTGTGGAGTGTTTATGCCCTCAAAAGAGAGCTATTACGTACTTCGGAGTACCTCGGAAATATGGGTACCGTGGTGTGAGATTACATATAAATGTGTTTCTATCTAAAGGGAAGGAAAATGTTTGTCACAAGAGCTGAGAGAAGCCTAGACCAAGCTTATGAATGAAATCTCAGAGCAGGTACAGAGTTTATTTTTACTTTCTCAAAGGCCCATTTATGTGTCAGGTTGCTATTAAGTGTGATGGGAGTAAGGAAATAGGAGTCTTGTGGGATGGATGGCAATTGTTTTGATGTAAAGCTGAAGTTCTTGTCAGAGTATCCTTAAATATGATTATTTATTGCAGTGTAGTCTTTTTTTCTGTTTTTTAACACATTTACCCTCAAGCAGTAAAACAAACTCTTCTAGGAAACTGCACTCATTTAAACCCCATTGTCTAGTTCATAACCAGGTTGGCATGAAAACAGAAGACGATTGGGGAGCTTTTGACTTAATCCAATATGCAGGCACTTAGCAACTCCATAACAACGGGCTAAAAACACTCAGAACACCTTAGCAACATCCTGGCAACCACTCAAGAATTATGAACGAGTTGCATTTTCTTCTGACATTGTAAAAATCTAGTTTAGTCTAATTTGAATCATTTGTTGAGAATGTGGCATATTAGAAGTCGAGTTGCACATAAAGTTTACTTTTTCTTGTTTTTTGTGGCTGAGTGACTCAGTGAGCGATTTATTACCAGCATGAATAGACTCATTACTTGTTCTTCACCCACTTTAAATGAGTTTTGTGCTTGTTTTAACGCAGCTCTCCCAATCAAGCGAGCAAAACAGTGACAGTTTGGCAGTCGCCCGGCTTGTAATATCAGGACGTCCGCGTCTGCGTGTTGAATACAAGATCTCTCTTGGCACTCGTGTATGTGGTTAATAGTCAGATGTTAAGATGGGTGATGAGGGAACAAAGTGCTGTTCTTTGTCATTGTGCTGTCTTTGTTATGTCACTCATACTGGGATGTAAATGAACAAAGCTGATTATAGAATATTGTTATGCATTTTAACACATGGCAGACACGGCGGACGTTAATTTATTCAAGCCCCAACGGCCGGTCGCTTGCATATGCAGATGTACTGTATATGACTATATTAAACACAAATTGCATGTATGCATGCATTTAATCACTGATTTGTGATGAGGCTGCCAAACAAATGTTGATTTAGACAGGCAGATGGTATTTGGGCTCTGATCAGAGCATCGTGCCTAATTATCTGTAGCTTTAACCCACCCTCTGTGATCTGGCTTTCTGCTGTCATCTGGACGCACGACTGGGGCACATTATTTGCAGCTATTTGCCAGTGAAACACGATCCCGCAGAAACAAACCTGAACCTGGACATCGAGCATAATGTGCCATTCACAACAATAACTCATGTGGGAACCAGTATACATGCTTTTCTTTTATTTTGGGCCCAGTCATTGTTCCATTTTAGTGCAGATGGCCTTAACGGCCAGTGTGAAAGTTTTCATTTTTGAGGCTATTCTAAGAGCAAAGTGTTATAAATTTGCTTCCTATATTTCAGTTCATGTTCAAATGTCACGTAGCTGTTGCTGCATAGTGCAAGAGTTTCAAAGTCACCCTCAAAGAAAAGCTCTCACATTTTGAGCTAAATGAATTAGCAAAATTCTGTGTATGAAAATGTTAACATGACAGCTAATTTGAAGCAAATTTGATCTAAAATAAACCAGGATGGAAGCGAAAAGGGAATTCATATCATCACACTTCCTTGTCATGTGATACTCAGAAGTATTTAGCAAAAACTTTCTTTGAAGTCGAAAATAATGGTCAAGAATGATGTTTCGGGTCTCTCGGGACACAATTGGCAGTTGCCAGCAAATTAGGCCTAAACAGAGCCCTGTGTTGTCATGGCAACAGTGCAATTAAATTACTTTACTGTCAGCTGTAATATAATTTTCCTGTGCAGCGGCTCACGGGACCGGAGCGCCCCATCGGAGGCTGAGTGAGATGAGCGCTCCTCATTGGAAAGATGCAGTACATTGATTTTTCATGAATGATTTTAGTGTCCGCGTTGCATTTCAATGTGTGGATGGCTGGTTTGAACAAGAGGCGATTTCGTTCCACTTCAAGATGCTGCTCTCTCCACAGCGCTCAAGTATAATCTTTAAGTATTTCTCTTTTTCTGAATGACAAGCAGTGTAAAGTAGAGGTCTCGTTGTTTAAAAAAAAACAATCTGCCTTTTGAAGAAGGGTAGCAGAGTTTGGTTTTTATATGTTTTCATAGAATTATTTTTGGCAGTATCATGTTTAAATGTTTGATGGTGACTTTCTAGTAATTGCTTTTGCAGATGGACCGGGTGTGTAGAGCGAGAGAGCGAGACAGTAGAGACAGCACCACACAAATTGATCTTTGTGACAGATCACGGGGAAGGTCGCAGTCTGTTTTTCTGGTGTCATGTTCGGAGTATTTGATTCAGTGATTGACATGCCCCTATAATATCTTTCCCCTCTGTCACACCCACTTCTTTATGGGTTATTGTATTGAAATAGATAGTCAGCAATTTTTAGATTAGTAATACTATGGCTGTCATTTTATTTTAAAACTCAGGGAAAGTCACAAATGAGCTGGCTGCGGTGACATCTTAAAATGGCGAAGATTTAGATTAATATGCATAAATATTGAATCAGATTTTTATTCTTTTACTGTTTTGATAAATGCCCAATGTAGATCTGTATAAGCTCATTTAAAACCGAAATTATCATCATTTAGAATCAAAATGTCAAAAAACATTTTCGACAGCACTTTCAATAGCATGAGGAAGCAATCATTCTGCCTTAAAGGGGTCATATGATGCGATTTCATTTTTTCCTTTCTCTTTAGAGTGTTACAAGCTCTTGGTGCATAAAGAAGATCTGTAAAGTTGCAAAGACTAAAGTCTCAAATCCAAAGAGATATTCTTTATAAAAGTTAAGAGTTAGCCACACCTACGTTTTGTAAAAATCGACGCGTTTCAAAAAGGCGGGGCATAGAGGAGAAACAATAATGTACAGTATGAAATAAATAATGTGTTTTTTTAACTTTAAACCGCATAAACACATTTCATTACACCAAATACACAAAATAATGTTCTTTTTAGCAGCATCATATGACCCCTTTAATTCAAGTGCTCCAATGAACTTGTGACATTTAATTTGTTTCCTTCATTTGTACATCTGCCAATGTCATTCCTGGGATTTTGTGGGTCAGTGGATAAAGGTATGGATCAGCAATTAAATATTAAGTATGATTTGTTGGTTTAATTGTAATGTTTATGGGTTTTAATCCACAGTAATGTAATTTTTTTTATTTTTTTTTGTAATGTTACTAGAATAGGTAGTGAAGAGTGTGTGTACTACATTTATATGTATTATTACAATTAAAAAAAAAAAATTCTATTATAATATATTTTAAACATATATTATTTTAAAATAATTTATTCCAGTGATTCAAAGCTGAATTTTCAGCAGCCATTACTTCAGTCTGCAGTGTCACATGATCCTTCAGAAATCGTTCTAATATGCTGATTTGCTGTTTAAGAAATATTTCTTATTATCATCAATGTTGAAAATGGTTTGTGCTGCTTGTTTTTGTGAACATCTTGATGCATTTTTTCAGCATTGTTTGAATTGAAAGTTCAAAATAACAGAAATCGAAATCTTTTGTAACATTATACATGTCTTATTTGATCATTATATCACATTTGTGACATTATATGTATTGATGTCTGTATTTTTATCTGTGTATGGCAACTATAAAAAGAGCATTTGAGAGCACATAAAACAGACAGAGCAGATCATTTGTAGATGACCTTGAGTGTTCTATTCCATTTACTTGAAATATTTCACACTATAGCAAGGCATCTTCAGTCACTCGATAGATGTTCCATCATCTCCGAGAGCAGGCTTGCGTGCCGTGCATTCATGCTGTTGACAGAGTAGGATGGTTCTCATAGTCTCGTTCTTTTGTGCTCTCAGAGAATGTTTTATCTCTTGGATGGAAAAAAGGGCTTCCTGCAGTGATCTGAACATCAAGTGATCTTAGTCATCCTTCAAGACTGTAAACTTCTACAATAGTGGATTCGGATTGAGAAATATTTCAAAATATGTGTGAAGTAGTCACTTCGTAGTCACTGGCACTGTCCCAAATGGCGCTCTTAATATGTTTTATTTTCACCTTTGACCTTCTGTGATTGTGATCATGCTCTCTTTTGTGTTTTCCATAGGAGCCTTGGTCTAAATGGGTCCAGTTATGCCTCCCAGTAAGAAGCCGGAAAGTTCTGGTGTCAGCGTCGCGAGCGGCCTGAGCCAGTTCTATCAGGCGAGCTCCATCACGCGCGCCCTGCAGGAGGCCGAGGAGATGGACCTGGCTCTTCCCACCATCAAATTGGAGAAGGGCAGCATGGAGGACGAGGAACTCACCAACCTCAACTGGCTCCACGAGAGCAAGAACCTGCTCAACAGCTTCGGCGACCCCGTGCTGAGGAGCGTCAGCCCCGTCCAGGACTTGGACGATGACACCCCGCCCTCGCCGGCCCACTCGGACCTCCCTTACGATGCCAAGCAGAACCCGAACTGCAAACCCCCTTATTCGTTCAGCTGCCTCATCTTCATGGCTATAGAAGATGCCCCCTCCAAGAGACTGCCAGTTAAAGACATATACAACTGGATCCTGGAACACTTCCCTTATTTTGCTAACGCCCCCACGGGGTGGAAGAACTCGGTCAGGCACAATCTGTCCCTCAATAAGTGTTTTAAGAAAGTGGACAAGGACAGGAGTCAGGTAAGGATGCCAAAAAGTGCTGACCTTAATTTACTCTAGTTTTCATTTCATTTCATTTTTACACTTTTTATTTGACTTTACTTTTTTTTAGTATTACCAAACATTTGCTTAAAAATTTTCAGTAGCCTGATTCTAAAAGAATAGCTATTAGAAACAGGCTAAAAACAAAATGTTTGTAGTTTGTATTCTGTAGTCACATTTTTTTTTGCATATAAAATGATCATAAAATGATTTGTGAATCAATTTGAGACATTTTCCATTTTTATTTGTTAGTAATAAATAATAAAAGTTTACTTCAACTTTTATATTATTTTTTGTAATTTTACATTTGTTAAAAAATATATTATAAACAGTGTTGGGAGTAACGCATTACAAAAGTAATAATATTACAGTAGTATATTACTTTTTGCTGTAACGCAGTAATATAACGCATTACTAATCAAATTTGGGTAATATTATTACTCGTTACAATCTCAGTAACGCAAGTTACAACAACATATTTTAACTCAAAATATATATATATATATATATATATATATATATTTATTTATTTATTTTTTTTTTTTTTTACAGTGTATATTTTTCAGTGTCAGTTCATGATATCTAATGAATTAACTAATGTTAATGTATTTAACCTTACTGGAACGTGTAATCAAATTTTATAATAATAGTTAGAAAAGTTTGGCCTGTTTAAAACGTCATTGCATTTTTTAGTTGTAGTGTAGCTAACTGCATTTTCAAAAGATGCTTTAAATGAGTAGCTTGTAGTTTGGAAAGCCACACTGCAAGAGTGTGCTGAATGTGTCAATATTTAGAGGTGTGCCTTGTTATCTCGGGTTTAATATCAATAAATGTTGATTGGATTGAATTGATTGAATGTTGATTGAAGAGAACATTTTATAATTGTTTGATAAAGGGATGGAACTTATGAATTGGGTCTCATTAGATGCTCATTGAGTACTGATTGATTCTAGTCAAAGGCTGATAAGTGCATTCATTCCTGTGTGTGTATCATATTGAGAGCATACGTGTGTGTGTGTGTGTGTGTGTGTGTTTATGGTGTGCGTGTGTTTGCAAGTTAGTCAGAACAGTAAAGCCATTCCATGTGACTCTTACAGTTCACTGCCATCTGGTCCCTGGCTGTGGAGCAAAGAATTTTTTCTGTATACGTGTCTCCATAGAAACAGCTTTGCAGTTGACATGGAAAGTAAGCTGTTGCTGTAGCAACAGAGAAACTGATGTGTTTGTGTGTGTATATGTGTGTGAGAAAGTGTTCTGGCTGGGAATGACTAATCCACTGATGATGGTATAGTGTCGTCCGATCAACCCCTTCACTCCTGCCCCAATAAGAGCATTTCCGTCACTTTTGCTGCAGGGAATCAATAAAGAATGAGTGTTTTTGTCTCCTGTTCCAGTATCATCTTTGGTTGACCTGGTCAAAATATTTAACTTTTGAGGGACTCAATCCACATGTTTTTTTTATTTATTTAGGATTGCAGTGACTTAATATTGAGTTAAATTTCAATTGAAAATCTTCCCTCAAAGGACTGGGGCTGTTTTTCATCTACTGTGATGCTCGACTCGACCAGATATAATTTGAGTGCTTGTATTTAATGCACTCATCTAATTTTATTTAACAGCTTTGCCATCCAAAATGTATTTGTGCCTTACTGAGATTCACAGTGTCGAGTTGGTTTTTCTTTATTCAAATGAACTGTGTAAGTTTGAGCTCTGGGCTTTTTGGAATTAAAGGTTGCTAGGGCATTGGTGGTTGCTAGGGTGATTGGGTGGTTACGTGATTGTTTTTTGCTTGTCCAAAACGTGTCACTATGATGCTAGCATATTGTGCATCTGAGTGGGTTTTGGATGGTGTTGCTTGTGCAAAACTTGCAAACATGATGTTAGGGTGGTTGCCAGGGCATTGCTAGGCAATTGCTGGTTTGTCATGCAAAACTTGCAACCATGATACTAGGGTGCTGTGCATGGTTACTAGGTTGTTGCTAGGTGGTTTATAGGGTGATCTAGGAGGTTGATGGATGGTACTTGTATGTGCAAAACGTGTTGCCATTAGAGTGTTGTGCATTGTTACTAGTGAGTTGCTAGGTGGTTGCAACAGTGATCTAGGTAGTTGCTGGATGGTGATGCATGCGCAAAATTCACAGCTATGATGCTAGGGTGTTGTGCATTGTTACTAGGGCGTTGCTAAGTGGTTTCTGGATAGTGCTGCATGTGCAAAATTTTCAATCATGATGCTAGGGTGTTGTGCATTGTTACTAGGGCGTTGCTAAGTGGTTGCTGGATGGTGTTGCATGTGCAAAATTTGCAACCATGATGCTAGGGTGTTGTGACTGCTTGTTTGAATGTTGCATGGTGGCTGCTAGAGTGATCTAGATGGTTGCTGGATGGTACTTGCATATGCAGAAGTTGTTGCTATGCTATGTTGGTGTGCACGCAGGTTAAAAGCCTCTAGCATCTTCATTTGATGTGAGTGCATAAAATGTTTGTTCTTTTATTGTCTGACAGATATTTACTCAAATCACTCGGAAAATGCCAAAGTTTAATACTTAGGCTTAGGGGTTAGTTCAAATTCTCAAGTCTTAGTATGATAAATAGTAACAGTGATGACAACCTTAGCAAACAACACTAATATTACAGTAAATGTTGGCAAAGCTTCAACCACTTAGTGTTGTCTCTTAAGTTTCCAGATTTGTTTATTTAACTTTTTAGAAGAAAAAAAAAAGTTTCTGTTAGGTCACAAAGTCATGATTAGCCGTATGGCTGTTCATTTGGCATTTGATTGAATTTTTCTAGCCTCATTGGCCTACTTAATGAATGAGATGACTATTTTAAGTCTGTTTTAATTTCAGATTCATTGTGGATTTGCTATGCAATCATGCATCACTCTACATAATGAGACAGTAAGGGGCAAATTAAACCAGGAAAATAAGAGTCTGAATAAACAAACATTTGATAGATGCGCAATCCCCAGGGGTTTACAGAGGAATAATTAATTTCGGCCAAGAGGAGAATCAAATTAAGAGATCCAGACCTCAAGAAAATTTTGTTTTTGCTTTTTACAGATTGAGAATGAGTTGCACCCGCTGCTTACGTCATTTGTACATGCAGTCTGAACTGTTTTAGCACCAGATTCGCAAAGGAATTATGCAAATCGGGTAACTGTGCAAATACGGCAACAAAATTAGTGTTGCATGGGGCAGTTGCACCCTGTTCACGTAAATGTGCCTAGACAATGGCTTAAAGACAGCAAAAGGTACAATTTTCACACAGGGGTCTTAAAATGACTGCTTCAGTAATCACGAGGAAATGTGCACAAACAAAGCCTTTTTAAATAAATCTCTTTACCACCAGCTTCTCTGGCCGGTAATAGTGTATCTTAAAATTGTATCAAGCAAGTAGCGCTAATGTTTACGAATCCAGCACATCCTATGATAACCCTTATTTGCATAAATAACAAGGTGTATTTGCTCAGTTAATTAAAACAAATAAATAATATAATTAAAACAATTTAATAAATAATAATATTTTAATATTACTATTCCAAGAATTATTTAATAATTAAAAATATTTAATTTATTAAATTTTTTTCCTGTAGGTACTAGCAGTTCAGTTCTCAGGGAATGAAAATACTGATAAATATACCTGCAGTTAACTTTAAATAAAATCTGCTTTTTGATAAATATTTGTATTCACATTTAATGCATTTGGCGGGTGCTTTTATCCTAAGCAACATGCATTGCATTCAAGGTGAATTTGATCAGTTAACGCATTCCCTGGGAATCAAACTCATGACCTTGGTATTGCCGCGTATGTGAAATTAGACGCAGGGTTTTGCACTGAAATTCAGTGCACTAGAGTGGTGCAACTCTTTATTGATGTTTCTGTAATGCACAGTGACTCTGCAGTGACTGGTGAAGAGTGAGTGCTCTAGAAATGGCACCCTGTCATTTGTTTCCATGGCACTGTTATGAACACAGGATCTGAACTTGGCACCTGAGTGGTGGTTATATGGGTGGATCTCCAAAGCTCTTGTGTCACTTACAAAGACTGTTTCACATACAGGCACACGTATCGGTGTTTATACATTGAGGGAGCTTTGATGATTAATGTGACTGTTCCCCTGTTGATGACATCTCCATAGCAACAGGATGAAGTTACACAAGAGTTGCAGTTGAACAGGTAGCAGTGGAGTGGTTTATGAAGAAATACAGGATGGAAGAGCACACATTGGCATTTCCAGCGGGTAGCATTTTCTGTACTGTCAGCACTGTAATGGTGATGTTCTGGGTGTTTACCTGGACATTTGATTGAGTTCACAAGTTTAATTATTTAAAGAGCAATGTGTCAGATCTATATATCACTCTCTGTTTGTTTTTCTCTGATCCCCGCTCTCCAATCCCCATCTATATCTTTGAGGGGTTACGGCGATAATGCTGATCCGTGTGACACGATTTATCCATTGCTCTGAAAGCCAGGTTGATGTAAGATAAAGCCGGCCTGCTCGCTGACATGTTCCCTGGCCAGCTGTTGTGTTCCCTGTGGACAGATGTTGGTTGCGAGGGAAGCCACGGGAGATTTGCACGCAAACCTACTTTTGACGTCACCAGCCCACCCATCTTTCGGAGACTACACCGTGTTACCAAGGGTTACACGACCACCCCCCAGGGATCCTGATGCTGCCGATCAATAGCGGACACGGAGCTGAGCTCTGACTTCTAGGATGTCAGCACCTTCTGGAATCTGAATCTTGCACTTAATGAGAGCAGGATGGAGATTTAACTGTAAAACTTAATGTCTTCTTCTTATTGACATCTAAGCAAATGTTTTGGTGGCAAAGATAAGGCTGGTCTTGATGATAAGACCATTTCATAAAACTTTGGGGAGCGCTATGAATCTTTCAACACACTTTTTTATGGTTATTGTAGGTTTTGATGATAGAGAAAATGAAAGAACATTCTGTGCTCTGTCATTACTTGATTCAT